AATGAAAGCTGGGAATCTGTAGGAACTATCTATATTATTTATTGAACTCATTTAGAAAAAAATCGAAAAATGAATTAAATTTAAAAATGCTCTCATTTTGAAAACAAAAATGTTTAACTTTTTTTGTAACAAATTTTCTTTAAGCTTCGATATCTTTTTTATTCAGCTTCAATTGATATTAATATTAATACAAAATTTTTTGTTATATATCAGGATTCAGTTGTAGTCCATAAAGTGGCTTAAAAAGAAATTCGGTTATAGTCCTAATTCGCTTATAGTCCATACAAATTTTGCAACTGTAGTTGTGGACTATGTATAAGCGAAAACTACTGTACAAGCGGAAGTTGACTTAGTTCACCTTTTTGGATATGTCGTTCATTGCCCCTGGATTTTGGCGATGTGTTGGCCTAATATGAACTGAACTCGGTTTAGTACCATCCAGTACTCCTGGATGTTTACGTTTCGGGCTTTTCCGGTAAATATCCCACATAGATCTCAGCCCTCCTCTTCGGACAGGACTTGAAGTAAGGCTCCAGTCCAAGGCTTCAACAATGGGACTTGTTCTCTAATCCACTTGGCCTAGTCTGTGCCCTTACAGTCGAATATGAACCAACCGGGCTTAAGTGAGCAACCTACAAATTGGTTTTATAGAGATCTTCTTCAGCTCCACAATCTTATTCAGGACTGCCGTCTGAATCATCCTAAGTTTTTCGTCAGACCACATTTCCGTTGGGAATTTAGGTGGAATGACACCAAGACGGATGATTTCTGCAACATCTATATACGATGGTTGAGAGTGCCTTACTTCCTATTAATTAAAACTAGGAGTTTTAATGGGCACCGGCATGTTTGGTTATTTATTTATATTACGTATGCTGTATATTTTTTATTTTCAGAGGCATGTCTCGTATTTTTGCTCATATCTCCGTTCATCCCAAACGTATGTCTGATAGAATTATTGAAGATTCGGATTTCGCAGATATCTGGGATCTTCTGAAAACTGCTTTCAACATACACTCATCCACCTCCCCCGGGGAATAATTTGACATGGGGTCGAACCAGAGAACCACATAATCTGGTACTAAGGGTGGTCAGTTGCCCGCAGGACTTGTTAAAAGACTGATGCACGGTGTAATCCATAATTTGGGATAAGTTCGGTGCTGTTGTCGAATGACAACAGATTCCACACTGAGGAGTGACTGTGGGACTTAGAGTTGGAAATGAGTTGGTGTTAAATGTATATGATACAGGATGAATTTAGTGGTATTCGGATCTCATCCGCCCGTATACCTAGAGAGAGTCTGCATTATTAGTGTGTCGGATGAATAAGAAGTGTGCAGGGTTGAATGATGATGGATGAAAGTTATCTTATACAAGTGATACCTTAGAATTTTCCTTTCTTTTCCAGGTATGTTCAGTGAAAACTCTCTTCATACCAGTTTTACCACAGTGTGTTCTTTGTGAGAAAGAACAAAGTTCTCGGCTTACTTGATGTATTGGTACTTCTATCTACCGCTTACGTTTCTAGGTGCTGTTGGCGACTCAACAGAGGCCATCTCATCTGCGTGGTTGTAAACGGAAGTGTTTTTGCACCTCGGAAGTTATGCAACGGGGCAGCAGTGGTCAGATATTAGATAGCTCATAGCGGCACAGCCATGTACAAAAATTGCCACCTGCGAGTAAGATACACAATGGGGCGGTGGTGAGTCGGTAAGGATCCAGAATATACATATACACTTTATATGGTCGGAAAATTACATTATAGAAATTACAAACGGAATGAAAGGTATAAAAATGATGGGTCTTTGTTTTATATGCGGAAGTGATTTAAACAAAAATATCTAAACAAAAAGCGAATTAAATCCTAGCAAAAACATGGTAATGACTTGTACTTACTCAACAACTTACTTTACAATGACTACTACATACTGTCTGTATCACTTAGAATGAGTCTAGTAATAACATGCAAATAATATATTATGTAAGTACTTACTTTTCGGCCTTGACATGTTGTTTTCGAACTTTGTTTTTAACACAATCGAAAAAAAAATATTTTTTTGTGAAAACCAATAATAGACGCAGTGGGCAAGAAAACGCAATTTTTTAAGAAACAAAACTATTTACTTAAGTCCCTAATTGCTGGCGGTCATAGTAAGCACTTACCTAACTCCTTATTTGTAAGCGAGCGTGGTAAGTACTTGCGTCCAATGTCATCACCGTGTTAAAATAATGACTTAAAATGCTATTGTGTAAGTAAATTTTAGCATTTTAACCCTTTACTTTTCAATGTAAGCTTTTGCTGGGATATTAATTAATAAGTGTTTTTGCTACATATTTGTGAAAATGCCTATAACTTTGTTATTTGTAGCTCGATATTAATATTGTTACAAAGTTGTATTTGCATTTAAACTAAAAGGTTTTTAACGACAGTTCCGGAAATTTATTAGCGACTAACATTTGGTTGGCAACACTAAAGCGTAAAGTCGATTATTGTAGAGGTGTGTGCCTCCACTAAATGTACCAGAAGTTGTATGCCACAATTATGCGTAATGTGTTGCCGGAATATCCTGTAAATGTCTAGAAGATGATGAATGAGTATAAATAACGCCAGCAATAGGCCAAATGAGTCGGTCTGTAATAAGACTTTATTGATTGCTACCGTTTAATGTATAAGTTGTGTAATTTTATAAAAGTGTTTGTATGTAAAACTGTAAATAAAGAGTTTTTATAATCTTTAAACTGATTTGATTAATTTTTCCGACTCTATCAGTACTTAAGCAATAGCAAAACAAAAGAAAGAACAACAACGCTAAACGAAATAAAATACAAAACTCAATGAAACCAACAGACATCCAAATATACGAAACAAAATACACAACGCAATAAAACCACCAGACGTCCAAATATACGAAACAAAATACACAAAAAACAAAAACCCATAGACATCCAAACGTACATAGTTATAAGCAGTGTTGTTGTTCTTTATTTATTAAAGCATGAAAAAAATTTTCCTTTTCTATGAAATTTTCAGAGGTTGTCTAGGAGTTTTGCTTATATCTCCGTTATTTATGGACGGATTTTGCTGATTTTAAATTGGACACTTCTCTAAAGCATGTTTGACAGAACGGACATATATGTATATATATATATATATATATATATATATATATATATATATATATATATATATATATATATATATATATATATATATATATATATATATATATATATATATATATATATATATATATATTTTATAGGGTCGGAAAATTACATTGTAGAAATTACAAACGGAATGACAAACTTATATGTATATACCCTTCTCACGAAGGTGAAGGAAATACTCAAATAAAAATTGTATTCGCATATAAATAAATAAAACTCGTGAATATACCTTAAATGTTTGTTCACCTTTTCTGGCTATCTAGGAAACATATAGTGAAAAAATGGAGCATAGACTGAAGTAGTCGGATTTATGGCATTTTTCCTCTAATTTTGAAGTCCTCTAAAGACCAATGAAGCTCGGAATTGCCTGACGTTGGGGCTTACCTTAAGATATTTAGAATTACAATTTTTGGAATATGGACGGAGAATTGAAAGGAAAAATTAGCGTGTTAAAATATTATCTTTTTTACATATTAACGACCTAGGAATACGAAAATTGGCATGCATGTATATTGTACGGACCAAGGAAAAGATGAACACTGAACTGGATTTTGATATCCTCTTTTATGGCGGAGAGGTAAAAGAAAAAGGAGATTGTACTTATCACTCTCTGTTAAAACTTCCGGTGCCTTTAACCGAAACTTCTTCTTGTTGCAAATCTGATTAAGAAAGCAAAACTCATTATTTGGGCTGAGACAACTATGGCACCCAGTTACCTTAATTCTGTTAATGAATTATTTAAAACTTTATTACAAATTGATAATCCATTTCGAAGTAAAGTATTACTGCTAGAAAGAGATTTTCCAAAATGTTTATCTGTGGTTCGATATGCTCATTTAACATTCGAGCTGTGAACTTATCATACAGAGATTGATTGCTAAAGATGGGCAATGGGACGCTAAGCACAGAGTTTGGAAAAGATGAAATTCAAGATTCGATTGTCAAAAGTATTTTTGGTGAAAAATGTAAGCCACTTGATATAAGAAAGTACTCTAAATCTGTTATCCTTTACCCTAGAGATGACGAAGTATGCCAAATCAACGATGCTTTATTGCGGAAAGGTGGGAATATATTTGCCTGTAGTATTTTCAAGGTTCGCAGATGACGTCAAAATAAATGTTATTCATGCAGATGGAAAGCAGGGAATGCTTCATAAGGGCAGTTCAGAAGTAATCGCAAAAAATTATAGTGTGTAAATAAATGTTTAAAAGTTTGTTGTTTTGTTATTTGTTTGTTGAATTCATTTGTATTGCATTAAATGACAAAAAAATGAAATTAACTAATAAATATTTATACTATTTCGTTAATTAATTATCATTTGTGTAGTATTTAAATTTATTATCCTTGATTTTGTAAATACACTTTTGGCTTATTTTTCAGCCAAACGGATTCAATTTTTCTTGCCTGGCAGGGACAGGCATAACAGCTAGTATTAGCCCAAATAGACTACACAAGCTGCTTATCAAACATACTTTTTTTATTCGCACACACACTATACAAACATTACTCGTACAAACACCGATTTTTCACGTTTTTGTGGACTTTCAAAGATACAGATCTCAATTTTTCTTAGAAATGTAAATTTTTTGAAAAATTTGTTATTAATGAATATAAACCATACAAATGGTTTGACAAAAATTCAATATGTTTGTGTAAAAATCTAATTTTTTTAATTTTTGTACAAACAAACAGCAAGCATTTGTACAAACACGAAACACCCTCATACACTACACAACAGGCTTGCACAAACGTAAAATATTGGTATGTTTGTCAAGCCGCTTGTGTAGTCTATTTGGGCCTTAATTTTAATTTTCGTCTTTAAAATAATTTACCTTATTAAGAACGGATTAATCCAGCCCGTTACAACGGGATTAATGGCAGCTATAGCTACTTTTTCATTTTGCAGGTGTATAGGAAGTAGTTGGGAAAGTTGAAGCGCACCATACTTAACTCTCATTCTTGAAATAGACGCAGCGAGTTTTGAACGAAATGTCCACAGGAAATCAGCTAAATCTTAAAAAAATTGTGAATTAAATTAGGGTTTAACATTTTTCGAATATTTTTTTTTACAAATGAGTAGTATATATGTATATATATATATATATATATATATATATATATATATATATATATATATATATATATATATACGTGTATGCCAAATTTCATCAAATTATCTTGAAAATTGCGACATGTACTTTGATAACAACGTTTACATGGACACACGGACGGTCGGACGGACATCGTTAAATCAGCTCAGAAAGTGATTCTGAGTCGATCGGTATACTTAAAGGTGGGTATAGTACTAATATTTTAGTGCGTTACAAACATCAGCACAAACGCATAATACCCTTCCCACTATAGTGGTGTAGGGTATAATGAATGTGTGTTTGTTTGTTTGGACTTTATAGACAGTTAAACGGCTGAACCGATTTTTCTGAAATTTTCACTGTCTCTTCCTGTATGTTTCAAAGGAACTATAGGCTACTTTACTTCAAGATTTTAAGTGGGTGACCTGCCACGCCCACATACAAAATAAGTTTTAAAGTCGCATATCTCAGAAACTGCACAAGCTACAGTCCTCAAATTTTGTATGTAAAACTTTGACATCCATATGAACACATGAGAATAAATGGGCAGCCTAGCGATAGTGAGCGTGGCACCTCCCATATAAAGAAAATCTTAAATTAGTATATCTGAGAAAATATAACAGCTAGAGTCCTCATTTTTTTCGGAGGAACTTTAGTATCAAATTGAATGTTTAGGACAAAAATGGGCGGACTAGCAACTTTTAGGCAGTCTTGGTACCTCCCATATGATTTAAGTACAAAAATTCGTGTATCTGGAAAGCTATTAGAGCTAGAACCCTCAATTTTGCACGAAGAACTCAGACATCCAATAGGGGCTTGGCACCTTCCATATAAATTAAATGCAAAAATTCGTATATCTGGGAAACTGTAAGAGCTAGGATTTTCAAAAATCGTAAAGCAAGTTTTTTATACCCTCCACCACCATCAGTGGTGATAGAGGGTATATATAAGTTTGTCATTCCGTGTGTAACACCAAGAAATATTCATCTGAGACCCAACAAAGTATATATATTCCGGGTCCTTATCAAATTCTGATTCGATTTAGATATGTCCGTCTGTCTATCTGTCTGTCTGCGTAAAACACGCTCACGTAAAAACGATGCTAAATAAATTGATGAAATTCGGCCAAAAGATTCACTATTGTCCTAGATAGTTTGGTACTGAAAATGAGCAAAATCGGTTTATATCGAAAAGAGTTATGAATCAGAATTTAAAAAAAAAACTCCGAAAAAATTAAGATTTTTTAACACATTTTAATACAATTTTCACAAAAACTATGCGATATAATTTCATAAAAGTCAGCACACAATTGTTTCCATATGAAAGCTGGATTAAAAATGGGCAGAATCGGTACACATTTTCTTATACCTCCCATACAAATGTACATATTCCCATTAATTGTTAATAACTTCCGGTAGAATGACAATATCCTTACAAACTTTTACAACTAAAAGTTTTAATATCCATAAATTGGATAGTGACAAACTAAAGTTAGTAAAATTTTCCTAAACAAAAAATGTATTTCAATATATTTTGAATATCTTTTATTTTATATCGACAGGGGTTTCTTGTTTATACTTATTTATGATTTTATATTACCAAGGGATTTCAAGGTTGGAAACTGTTATCGCTAAGTTTAACTATAGACCATTCTATAAATAGACTATAGACTAGAATATAGGCTAGACTATAGGCTAGACAATTGACCTGACTATAGACTAGACTGGAAAATTGAGTATAATCTGTCTCCATTCCAGTCTATAGTCTAAGCTTTAATGTAGCCTAGTTTATAGTCTAGACAAGTTAGGGCCAATCTTTAGGTGAAAGATTAGCGATTAAATTAAAATTAATCCTCGAAAGATGTTTTTGAGTACTCAATTAGTGAATTTTGTTTGCAAGTTTAAGCGCCCAATGGAGGTTGTTTAATCTTAAGCACGAAATGCAAAAGTGTAAACAGCTGATGCAAAAAAATTAATAAAATTTTTATAAATATAAACATTAAAATGTTCTATTTATTGATTAGTATAAATTATGGACACTTCAAAATACATTTTTTGTTTTTAATTTAAGTTTTCATTAATTTTCATATTAAATTTGCAATTGTCTTCATCTTTTTTATAAAATATGCATTGTTTTGATAACAAACAGTGAGATTTTCTGTTGTTTTGTATGGCAACACTGCGAAATTTAATCTTGTACTCAAAAACATCAAAGGGGATTAACATAAGATTAAATTTATTTTTAGATTATCTAATCTGATTATTAATTGGCATTTGATTACCATCTCAAAACCCGCTCTTAGAGTGCTATATTCGGCTGTGCCATAAACTGGTTATATAAATCATCAAATTTTAACGATAGATTTAAATTTACCATGACATATCCTTCATTTTCATTACGCCTTAAAATATACCATGGAAAACTAACTAACACTTAAAAGACGTTACATAATGTACCTACTAAATTTAACAAATGTTAAACATAATTTGTATGTGTGTGAATATGGAAATAAATATGTATTACAGAACATTTTATATAATTTTTTTTGTAAAAACTTGTAATCCGATTTTTACGATTTTCGACATTGTTTATCTTAGTACCAAAATCTATATGTCGGACAAAATTATTGATCTGCATTACTAGCCCACAAAGGTATTCTCGGAAATGTGCTTTAATAATAAAGTGTGCTATTTAATCAATAATCGTAACACATACTGTAAATTGTGAAAATCAGACCACATTTATCCTTTACCATACATACAAGGTCACTCTTGGTAAATGTACTTTATGTTCATAATTGTCGTATATAGTATCGACATGATAAAATTTAATGCAACTAATAAATTTTATGAGAAGCTGAAATGTATCTGTCGAAATTTGATAGTGAAACTCTGTAGAATTCGGTCAATAATTGACCCATGCTCCCATAGGGAAAATTTTTCATTATAATGAAGAATTGTTTTACTAAATTAAGTGAGAATGTGCCCATAATTGACCTAAACGCCCATATACAACTACAAACTTATAGCTGGTGCAGTTTATCAATAGTTTTTATTTAATTTCTATAACTATATTATTTCACTGTTTAATTGATTAATGGGCGTAATTAACCAAGTGTCCTTTAATTGCTGCGATAAATCAATTAAAAGCCCAGCAATAAAAAGAACTTCCAAAGAAGAGAAAAATAAGTAGAATATACTTCATGGAAATACTGGAAAAGAGCTGAAGAAGTGATGATTTTAACACAGGCTTCTCATAGGAGGGATGTTCTTTTTATTTGATTCTAATTTCACTACTTCGGAAGTCATTCTCAAGAAGTAATTTTATTGCTAATTTTTTGGAAGTTATTCGGAAATGAAATTGTAGTATTATAGAATACAACTAATTTGACCTAAATAATATTAACATTAATAAGGGTAATATACACATTTAATACAAATGCCCAAAAATAACATTTTTTTATCTCATAAAATGTAAGAACAAAAAATATATTTTCAACATTGAAAAAATATAATTATTTTCGCTTCTTCGGAAGTCTTTAAACATCACTTCCTCAGAAGGTAAAAAAATTCACTTAGTGCTACTTTTGAAGTGGTGATAAATGTTATTCTTTTGGAAGTACTTCGTTTTATTTTTGCTGGGAGAGTATCAGTTAAATGAATTTTCCAATAATTGCACTAAAAACTGGAACATTTCAAAAAATCAATTAAGGGAAAACAACTGTATTTTCCTTGTAATTTTTGATAAATTTTTGGAAATATTTATAAATTTCCTTAATATTTGACTAATTTTAACGCCGGCAAATATATTTTGGATTAGTATAACACTAATCAATATCATTTACATAATTAATTGCGTTATGGCATTATATTTAACCAACATACTTTGAAAAAAGCAAATCAAACGATTTTGTCCATCATTTGGATGACAGAAGGGCATTTCCAAATTGTCTAAATAGTGCTAGCCAATTGGAATATTGTCAAATATTCATAATGCCTAGATTTGAGATTTTTTTCCAAAATATAATCGTTTAAAAACTTTCTGGGATTTTATTTACAAATTTGTAAACGTTAAAGTAGAATTTTTAGACTTTATTTTAAAAGAAATCATAATTAGTTTTCGCTATCAACCTAAAATTACCGAAAATAGCTTTATTTGAGAAAAAAATTTTAAAAATCAACTTATTGTTGGCTTAAAGAAGGGTCGAGCCTGAATACGGTTTTCCTGAATCTTGCCTAAAATTTCACAAGTGTTCACAAAAAACACAAAATTTAATATTTTTAGTATAAAAAATTTTCCCAGCAAGATAAGAATTTCATTCTTTATATTTTAACCCCCTTATTCACAAACAAAATTTTTAAATTATATTTATTTAAATATATATATATATATATATATATATATATATATATATATATATATATATATACGTGTATGCCAAATTTCATCAAATTATCTTGAAAATTGCGACATGTACTTTGATAACAACGTTTACATGGACACACGGACGGTCGGACGGACATCGTTAAATCAGCTCAGAAAGTGATTCTGAGTCGATCGGTATACTTAAAGGTGGGTATAGTACTAATATTTTAGTGCGTTACAAACATCAGCACAAACGCATAATACCCTTCCCACTATAGTGGTGTAGGGTATAATGAATGTGTGTTTGTTTGTTTGGACTTTATAGACAGTTAAACGGCTGAACCGATTTTTCTGAAATTTTCACTGTCTCTTCCTGTATGTTTCAAAGGAACTATAGGCTACTTTACTTCAAGATTTTAAGTGGGTGACCTGCCACGCCCACATACAAAATAAGTTTTAAAGTCGCATATCTCAGAAACTGCACAAGCTACAGTCCTCAAATTTTGTATGTAAAACTTTGACATCCATATGAACACATGAGAATAAATGGGCAGCCTA